CGGTTTTTCAAAAGAGTTTTTTTCAGAAAAGCAAGCAGTCTAGATATGGTTCTTTTGAAAAAATTGTACACTTCAATTTTTGAGGAAGAAGGCTCTTTGGAAAAAAGAGGGTTTTTTTCGAAAGAACTACGTCTTGGCTGCTTGCTTTTTCGGGGAAAAAAAAACCCCAAACTCTTTTGAAAAAGTAATTGGAAGAAGATATGCAAATTCCGCTGAATTTGCATATCTTCTCTCAAACGTAAAACGTCGTCTAGACGTGCTGTATACGTGCAGGGAGTTGCTTAGAGACACAAAGCTAGATTGCTGTGGTAGGGTTGGAACAGACCTCAGGAGGTCATCAAGTCCAACCCCCTGCCCAAAACATAAATGCATCAACACAGATTTTTAAATGTAAAGTAGAAAGAACATTTTGTTACAAATTTGCATGCACTAATCATCCACAGAACAACAGAAAATTTTTCTAGAAAGACGAAGACTTTGCACTACCATAAGGTTATTTCTGAACTTGCTAACTTGTGAAGATTGTATAAAACTTGTAATGTGTAGAAGCCAATCTCTTTAACTTGAAATTTAATTGTGAATCATGCAAATCTGTTTAGAATTAAACTGGAGGTATGTTAACCTCCATTACTGGAGATGGCTGCCATTTGTGATGGATTTGTGTTTTGCTATTAATCTGCCCATTAAATACTTGTATGTCTAAGATCACACCTCTAAAATTGCATGTTATGTATTAAGTAATCATCTATGCATATTTACGGAGTTGGTAAAGCATCTGGCTGGTTGTTGTAAAGCCAGGATGATCAATCAAGCTGCAGATTTCATTCAGAGTTGCTCTTAGAAGTTCTTCAATCTTAAAGGTTCTCCTAGAGCAGGGGTTCCCAAACTTTTTGACACGGGGACCACTAAATCCATTCACGAGCTTTCGGAGGACCGGTAACATTCATTTGCATTTTTGCATATTCATTAAGCAAATTACGACTATGCAAATATGGTGTTTTTTGGTTCTCCCAAAGCCCCCAGAGCCAGCTTTAGCAAAGCTTTTGATACGGCCACCCACAATATTCTTACCAGCAAGTTAAGGGAATATAGATTGGAAAAATGGACTGTAATCCAATAAAACCCTGCACCTTCACATCATGTATTGAAAAGGGGCTCATTTATTTTCAGAAAGCTGACACCATCTTTGGAATTTTTTATCCATCTTCTCATTCCGGATGGTGAATGCACCAGGTTCTCTCCATTCTGACACATTGTAGTGCCTTTAAACCTCACTGTCAGCAGTGGGGATATTTAAAAGGCACTGCTTTTACATTTTTATTCAGGATCTGCATGCGCCCTGAACTCTGTCTCTCTGTCTCTCTGTCTCTCTGTCTCTGTGTCTCTCCCCCCTCCTCCTCCTCCTCCTCGCCCCCACCTTCC